TCAAAGAAGTAAACTTTTGTTTATAACACAAACTTGCTTTAAGCACACTCTCAAGCTTGAATTGTGATGCTCAAGCCTCAACCGAGGTTCTAAGGGGATGTATGGTGTATGGATATTAGTTAAGAGAGATAGGTTGGCTCAAAGATTACTTGTATAGGAAGAATGAGCTCTCTCTTCCATGTATAGGTTCTTTAGAAATTTTTCAGCCCTCAAAACAGAGGTATAACCTCGTTTTTATAGAATTTGAGCAAGATAAGTCGAAAATATCTTCAAAAAAAGACAGCTGGCGGGCTCTCGCCGAAAACAGTGTGTATCACCATTGAGGCATGGCCGGGCCCAAATAGCCATGGCCGGCTCCCAATGGGGCACGACCGGGCCCTAATGTGCTACCCCACTCCCCTGTTTCAAGCTTAGTACAAGGTGGCACAATAGTAAAAAATGAACCTTTGAGGTAAGAATGAGACAAGTAGGAAGGCTTTGGGTGGGCTCGACTTTGGATTCCCTCGCCGAGAACTCGAATCGCACAATGTAGTTTTCATCATCGAGTGGGCTGGACCAAGCGCCAAAGTCTTACGGGTGGTCAAAAATGGGGTGTCTACATGCAAGAAATCCTAGATGACGAAGAGTACGTTGCGCCGCAAATGCCTGACCACCCTGAATACACCCAGGTTGGCGATATCATGGAGCCAGGGGACTCAGATTCCTATATGGCAACTGTAAGAGCGAATATTATATATGCACTGCAACAATAAGGGCACATTTAAGGCCGACGCATTTGTTGCCGTAGTGGGTCTTATATTCGCTGTATGTTGTGTAACACTGATGTATGTTGTTGAAAGTGATTCTATTATTATATCATTAATTAAAATGAAGTAATTTGTTGTTCTAAATTCGCAACAATTAAAAAATATATTGCAATAATCAACACTATTCAATTTCGTACACACGTTACATTTCTTACATAATCAAAATAATTATAAAAAAAAAATAAAACATACAAAAATAATACATTGTAATTTTTGTTTTTAAATTTGTTACATAATTAAAATAATTAGAAAAAAAATTAAAAATAAAATATTTGCACAAGCGGGTAAAAAGAAAAAAAAGCCAAATTTTTTGTCACAAATTAAAGTGAACAAGTACACATTACGTGTGAACATAAAACATGTACAATAAATAAATAAATAAATAAATAAATTAAACTTTGCACATATATATCTTTTTAGGTCAAGCTGTCTCACCGCACATTGAAAAACCAAGCCGTACTGGCCATCGCGTGAGGCATTGTTAGTACGCGTAGGGGCATAAGGATAGTACGGTAATTTGCATATTTCTTACAATATTATAATGCATTATTTTTTCATAAAAAAGTTAAAAGTTATCATTTTCTAATTTTTTTAGTCAAAAATTCAAAAAGTGCACTATATAGATTATCCCAAACAACCGCTAAGTAAGATGCATCTAAAAAAGTAAAATAAAAAATGTTTAAAATTTTAAAAATATTCACCAAAAATAAAAAAATATAAAAAACAAAATATCCGATTTTCAAAAAACTGAAATTAAACCTACTGAATATTATTAATCACAGATTTTGTAATATCATTATTTTTTTGGGCAAATTTCTTATGGAAAAGTTGAGTATAAACCTGATCAGATTTGATGGTAAACTTGGGCATTTGCATGGCTCTAGGCTATCATTTTATTTTTTTTTATACCGGTAGCCTATTTTTGACATCTGGATTAGAAGTCGGTTTTTAATTTTTTTTGGTTCATATCATTTCTATATTTTTATTGCACGACTTTTTCAAAAAAAAAAAAAAAATCAAAAATTTGACTTTTAATTTACTTTCTAAAATAGGCCAAACACTTGTACTACACTTATTTAATTTTAACGAAGTATCACTTTAATAAAATAATAAATGGTAGAACAAAGACTAGTTTAAAACTAAAATAATATTATATGCATCAATTAATCTACTAACTAATATATCAATTGATAATGTGACATAATTTAAGATATTTTTAGTATTTATAATTTGTATAATGGATGGAGTTAATAATAATGTCATAACTAGTGTTGGTACCCTAGTTAGTACACTAATTGGTACATGTAGCACCACTTTTAAATCTAATATTTTATTTGGTTTAGTAGAATGAGATGAAATAGAATGCAATGATAACATCTTAAACTCTCCAATTAAATGATCATTATATCTTATAATGATAAATGATAATTTTCATTTGAAATACATTTTTATTACTTTTTTAATTATTCAAACATGAAAGTAGTCATTCAGATTGAATGATCATTTAATTCCATATCCAAACACCACCTAAATGAACTAGCTTTCTTTTTTACTTAAAAATAGTGGGAAAAGTTGGGCAACAAGGAACGGTGACAGTGCAACCAAAGGGCACATGCATGGGCATTGGGCATGCAAAACTATGATCTTTCTCACAGCCAATAAAAACAATTCTGTTTCTAGCAAGATATGTGCTGATCTGGCTGCAGTAGGAGTCGTGTGATTGTCCTTGAGATCAGCATACCAAAAAACAGATATATGAATCTCACGCAACACCATTGGATTCATCTAACCCCAGGAAGATATTCCCCAAATATTGTATTTTGTATTTTGTATTTTTTTTTGGGGGGCGTGTTTACAAGTGGTCTGTGCACTTTTCTACTGTGCTGGATAAAATTTCTTACATTAAAAAGAATGAGATGATTATGAGCCGATCTTTATATTCCTCCAAAAAACAACTTGTTAAGGGTTATTTAACTAGAGAAAACTCAAACGTTTAAGTAATGTGAGCTTAATTTAGAAAAATGGAACATGAGTTCAATATAGATAGTGTTGATTTCGTTCCATTCACCTACCTCTCGTTTTTCTTTTTTTTTGAGGACGAACTTACCTCTCTTTTTATGTTATTGCCTTTCATCATTTTGGCATCCTTACCAATGAAATAATTCATAGAAATGATTCTACTATTGTTCTAGTGCAGCCACATTGTACATACCCATATAATTTATTTAGAAATAATAAATAATGATTCAAATTTATTACACTCACAGACTCGACACTTTATTAATTTCATCTTCACTATTCAAATTGATTTAATACAAAATTTGAGACTTAATTTTTTTTTCATTTTTAAAATGTCTTTCTTAATAACATGATAAATTACGTATGAACTTTTAATTTCTCATACTTTTGACTCTTTCTTTAAGATTTGTCACTCACATTTAACCTCACTCAACTCTTTTATCATATTGGTATGAATAAATAATAAATTACAAATTTAAATTATGGGGAAATTATCAAGAAATCTCATTTGAGAGAGTTTTGGATTGAGAGAATTTTTTTTTTTTTTTTTTTTTTTTAATACTCTTACCAGTCCTATTTTTATGATAATGTTTACCAACAAATCTCGTGCATTGTTTGAGATGTGGATTTTATTACTTTTTTACCATTGTATTGTATGAAAACGTGTTTGGTAAGGATGTGTGGAAATCCACACCAACCACATCAACAACATTGACCATCATCCCCCCATTACCCACACGCAACATACCTCCCAAAACACATACACACCATCTGCCACACAAAAACACAATCTAACCACATCACCAAACCAATGCCCCACCAACACAATCACCACACTGCCAAACGCCTGCACACCCACATATAACAAGACAGAAACACCACAACAACTACATCAACAACATAAACCATTCCATACCCATTACCTCCAAACCACGCAAGCCCTTTCGTCTCCTCAAACCATTTACACAACATCTGCCACGCAAAAAACAAGAACCAACCACACCAACTCCCCATATTTGAATTAAAAACCCTACCCAAGGGGGAAAAAAAATACAAAAAACAAACACACTGTCTCAACTCCCCATATTTGAATTAAAAACCCTACCCAAGGGGGAAAAAAAATACAAAAAACAAACACACTGTCTCCCCACATTTGCCCTGTCCAATAACAATCCTAACATAGTTACCCTATACATCACCAACCACAACCCCCAAACCCCTCAACACACACCCACATCATGACAACTCCGCTGAAATACACAACGCAATAGCAAAATATGCACACACTAACAAAAAACACACAACAAACCCAAACAGAACAACACCTTATCTAACACATTAAGATTGAAGATGTGGGTGCTCACTGTTGCGTGGCGGATGCCGTTCACAATGCAGTCCACACCACCAAATCACCCCTACAAATCCGTTAACAAGATTGTCTCGTTTATCACGCCCAACCAGATGTGGTTTACCGACAAACACCCCCAACCCCAAAAAAAATTGAATCTAACAATTTTCCTAAATCACCTAGTCGTCGCCACTGGTTTGGTCTTAGAACCCCAATCACGACGATCGGGAGGGGTTGATGACTGTTGGGCAATGGAAGATGGATAGTTTTTGGCAATGTCGGCGACTGATGGTTTCCTTAACCTTCTACTACATCACCATGTTCATCAAACAATTTTCACTATGTGGACGGTATCATCAGTTTCGGATACGAGGTGGATTGGCCCATCAGAATTTCCCTTACAAAAAAAAAAAAAATGGACTAACAACTGGGCTTCATGGTGTGTTGATGTGGTTGGACCAATCCAACATACCAACGCAAAAAAAATCTATAGGACGCTTTCCAAAGCGTGGCAGGCCTGCCACGTACGCAATCTAAACAAACTCAACATTACATTTACTAACTATGGGTAAAAACGTAATATAATAAAAAATGGAACTTCTGATATCATCATAAAACAATTGGGATTTAATGGTTTACAATTTATTCATATGGGATTTATAGGTCAATTCTCCTTAAATTATTCATGCTTTATTTTTTATTACTTTCACCATTTTTGTTTGAATTTTTGAAACTATTTTTTAATTTTTTAAAATAAAAATTAATTTGATAAAAATAAATATCAAAATATATTTTTAAAAATTATTTATACCTTAAAAAAACTTCTGCAAATCAAGATCTCCAACCTCTGCTCTCAGGCAAGAAGCGAGTCATCGCTCTCAACAAGAAAGATTTGGCCAATCCCAACATTATGCATGTAAAATGTTTTAATCAATCTCAATTTGTTTGGAATTTAGTTCTAGACTGGTCATTTGTTTGAATTTTGTGGTTATTGTATGGAAATTAGTGAATTGTAAAGGCAGGTGTTGATTGTTGTGACAACTATGGTGTTTTTTTGGGTTTAATTTTTGCAGAAATGGACTGGGTTTTTTGATTCTTGCAAGCAAGATTGCCTTCCAATAAATGCCCACAGTAGAAGTTCTGTTCAGAAGGTTAGTTGGTTTTTTTGAAAAAAATATTGGCAATGTTGTGCACATTGTCCTTTTTAAGGTAGTGTTTGATTCATTGGAATGAAGCGGAATGGAATGATCATTCTATCAAAAATTTCATTCCCTTGTTTGGTTTAACTAAAAAGATAATGAAAAATGTATTGCTAATGGAATCATCTGCAGCCAAAGGAATGGCCATTCCATCTCATTCCAGTTAACCAAATAGAGCATAAAAGTTTAATTTTTATGATGTTGCTATATATCACATAATCACACTACTGAAATGGTGGCTGTTGTTAGCTTGTGATTAAGGGGTCATTACATTTTTCCTTTTGCACTTACCTCCTTTGTTGTGAAAGAAAACATATGTTGATTTAAAATTCCATGTCCTACCTGTATGAAAATTTTAAATTTTTTTCTTCTTGAGCTCATACGCATCATGTAGTTGCTATTGATTTGTTATATCCTGTCCATCAAGTGCGTAAAACAAATCTTTTGGGGCTCATGTTTGGCGGAGTTATGTGATTTCTACATAGGCCCCATGTTCACCACAATTTTAAAAGGGTCTGGAAAAACTTCACTCAAGAGGGTTCACACTCGGACCTTCCACACCAAATATCCAGTGAAAACCTCACGCAATGACCATTACTCATCTTAAAATAAGTGAATATATAGAAGTCATCCCACACCTACAGGATACCCTTCCAACTTGTGAGTGTTGTTATTATCTTTGGTCAAATGAATAGCTACTCTATCAATACTTTATTGGGCACCCTATCACGCCCCTCCAATTAGGAGGTTTGAGGGTTTGGTCCGTAGGGGGTATACAATATGTATTGTTTTAGCTATTTTAGAGTGAGGGATTATTCATCCTTTATATATGTTGCTTTATTTTCCCTTGTTTCTTCTTTTTCCTCCTCCCAACTCGAGCTTTTTGCCAAGACCAAAGCAACCCCCTAACTGTTGAAGGGAACCCCCTCTCCATGCCAAACAAAAGAAGGGGCAAAGATCACATCTCCTTGCCACCTTACAATGAATGAGAAGATGGCTCACTGAATCCCCCATCCTTCTTACACATGCAAGAACAATTCATATGTGCTTGCTTTTTATTTGATCAAATTATCTGCAGCGATCTCCTCTGGCTTTAAAGATCCCTTCATCTCACAAATGTGTCAGCAACCCAATTATCTAATGCACACAAATCTTAGGTCTTTGATGAGGTCAGTATCAACCCCTAGCCGGAGACCTCTAGTCTAGGAAGAGAAGTTTTCTGGTTATTGACTGACTATGGAATAATACTCTTTTAACTTCTTCTTTAGACAGTTAAACGAAAAGATAGTAAGCACCACTTAGATTGAATACATGTACCTCGCCTCCACCACCTCATCGTGCACATTCCAATTCTTCCTACCAAACATTCATTCCGGAACTCCACTATCCTATCATACGAGTCAAACTCAATTTCTACATCAACATCTACGATCTTGCTTTGGTGAAGAATACCAAGAGAACTCTGTGGCCATTTGGGTATTTCTGCCATCACCACATAAGATGCTGCCACCTAATTTTAGTGATGTCAAATTTTGAAGATGCCAAATTACCACCTAAAGCCTTCAGAAAAAATTTGGCATCTCTAAATTTGAAGAAATGGTTGGAGATGCTTTAATACTTCTAATTTCTTTGGAAATAGAGTTTCTTCAATAGAAATTAGGATAGTTTATTCCACTTTTTTTCCGACATATAAAATGTCAAAAATAAATAAGTTCTTGCTATTATGACATAATAAAATATAAATATATTTGTAACATAGAAATAATAAGTTGTGCATCTCCAATGGTTGTTGCTACAATACCATTGCTATTGCTATAATTTGGCAATGAATAGTGCTATTTTGCCAAATTATAGCAATGGTGCTCCAATAGTCACTTGCTATTTTGGCAATTCTCAATCCACCTTCTCTCCAAGTTTGTAGGTGTTGTTTGAATATAGGTTTTTTTGTGATTTTATTTTTGTTTATTTTTTTGTCTTTTATGACCTTTTTTTAACTATTTGTAAAAAAAATTATATATTTATATTATTCCCGACTAGACAAATATAAAAAAATGAAAAAAATTTGAAAAATTAGAATTTTTAAAAAAAAATATAATTCAATTTGAAAAATTAAATAGAAAAATTAAATTTGAAAAATTATTTGGTTTTCTACTGCTTCAATTCTGTTTTTTCAACTGAATTTGGAGCCACAAATATGTTCATATTTGCTGATGTGGCATATTTGACAATTGCTATTTTACTTACCAAATTTGAGAACAGATATGGCATATGCCATCTTTGGCAAATAAAATAGCAATCCATTGGAGATCCACTTTTTATCACTATTGTTAAATTATAGCTTTGGCAAGTGTTTTGAGAGTTCCATTGGAGATGCTCTACTTTTTCATGAATGGATATGAAAATGCATATTTATTTGCTGTCTTCTCCACACCATGTTTGTGCCCTTTTTCCCCAAAAATGTCGTGTTGATACATCCATATCTTGTCTTCTATACCCATGCTTATTACTCAATAGGATTTTGTGCTTTGATACTTGCTTTAACTTTTACCATGTACTCTTTCTATTCTTTTTCCTAATTTTCTTATTTGTGGTTCTTGCCCAAAGCTTCTTGACCTCGTGGAGTTCAAACTAAAGGAGGTAATCTCCAGGGAACCTACTCTGCTCGTTATGGTGGTTGGTGTTCCCAATGTTGGCAAGTCAGCTTTAATCAATTCGATTCATCAAATTGCCTCATCTCGCTTTCCTGGTGAGATTTTTATGGAGTTTTCTATCATAATTATTATTTTTAAATGATAAAAAATGGAAACTCAGCTATAGTATTTATGGTATTCAAGTAATTTACCTTGAGTGTTTAAAATTTTAGATTTTTCTTAGTGCAGGAGAAGAAAAAGCGTGCTACAGTGGGACCATTGCCCGGTGTTACTCAAGATATTGCAGGATACAAGGTCAATTTTCTAAAGAATTGTAGTTTTTTATTTGTAATTCTTAGTTGTATATAAATTGTATTCTTTATTGAAGGAAGGAATTTCATCAATGATGACTGGAAAGTAACTTTGTTTTACTAGTAAATAAATTTTTTTTTCTTGGCCTCCCATGATGACAGATTGCACATTTGCTTGCCTATCTCAGCAGATCATTATTTAAACATATATTTTTTAACGTCTACCTGTCATCTCTGAATAAATTGTTTGATTTTTAAACCCATGAAAACATGATATTTAGGGAGGAGAGGTCAACTTGATAACCACCACATCTTTCTCATTTTTTTTTCTTTAAGACTTACTGTGTGTGTGTGTGAAATATTGGTAAGCTACTTAGTGGTTGGTTGTGACATAGCAAAAACAAGTGTTTTTAATCCCATGTATTGACATTAGCATTTAGAACAATCAAGATGATGAAGAATCTTCTTTTGCTTAAAATATTTCTGAACTTTAGAATAAAACTATTATTATGGCTATTGTTATTGTAGATTCATTGGGTGGTCATGTTTTCTTCTGTTATGCTGGCATTTTTCTTATGAAAGTCATTTTATCCCTCAACCTATCTTCATCACAATATATTTTTTGATATAATATTCCTTCATTATATATTAAATTACGATCTGTTGTAATGATTTGTGTGCTAAAATTTGATTTATTAATGCACACAGATTGCCCACAAGCCTAGCATATATGTTTTGGACACGCCCGGAGTATTGGTTCCAAGTATCCCAGACATTGAAACAGGGTTAAAGCTAGCTTTGGCTGGTATAAACTCTTTTGATCTTTGTATTCTCTAGAGTTGATTATGAATTTCATTTACTTTTTTAATCTATTTCATCACTGCTTTCGCGATTACCAGTTGTAAGTTGTTAGTCTTGTAAGGAGTCTCTAATTTATGGCTTTAGTGATTCAGAGTCTTGGTATCTATGTTGGGTAGATTGGTTTGAGAATGTCTCCATGGGAATAAAATTTAGATTTAATATGTAGAGTTCTCGTTCTCCCTCTAATCTCTTCACTACATTGCTTCTTGGTTTCTCCTCTGCCTCTATGCTTCCCTAGTCTTATCTTCTTTATTCTTCCTCTTTAACTCTCTCTCTTGGTTTCTCTTTTTTCTTTATATCCTTCTGTATCTTCGTTCTTATGTTCTTTCTTGTATTTCTACCTCTATCTCATCATATCACATATCTACTTGAACAAAATTAGCATGCTATATTTGCCTACCACACGTTTGAAGAAATCCTCATGAAGCTGATGCAACATCAAGATGTATTGCGATCAAATTTAGCATCTGGAACTCAAGTTATATTTGTCTATATGATCTATTGCTTCTTTATGCAACTGATAATAATTATTATCTAAATAACATGCAGGGTCTGTGAAAGATTCGGTAGTAGGTGAAGAACGTATTGCTCAGTACTTACTGGCAGTTTTGAATACTCGGGGTACCCCCCTCCACTGGAAGCACTTGGTTAGTAGAAGAATAGATGGTGCAGATGAATCTGATGACAAACATGAATATAATCTCAAAGATCTTCTGCCGAAAAGGAGGAAGCCCGTAAATAGATCTGATGTGCACTACATTGAGGTAACTTATGATTCGTCAGTTTCATTTGCTGAAAGTCCAAGGCAGTTTCAGATTTTTATTATTGACATTGTTTGAATCCAATGTTTCTCAATCAGAAACATCTGAGGATATTCTTGAACCCTTTGGCACACTGAAATTCATCCAGCTACAGAAAAAACCTTCTAAAAGGGTTTAATCGGCTTCATAATTGTTGAGGTTGGTTGTGCCAAAAGAATTTTGGCTGGCTTCTGGAGGCTACTTGGCTAGACTCTGTCACAACACAAGCATGATATAATGAAAATTCTCTCTAGCACTATGATTTATTCCCATAGGACTCAATTATAATATATTGCATCAATAATTAGTGGAAATGCATAATGTTGAAATCAAGAACCTGGTGATGTAAATCCAATGACAAGTGTTAGGTAGACATCCTTTTCACCATTATTTAGTGAGACAGTAAAATGCTTGAACTTATTGCCCAAACACAATTAGCTAGTTATGTCAATCTCTTTATTCTTCTTCATCTGCACAACTCTGTTACAGTTGGAATGATTAGCAACAGTTTAAAGTGTTTCATACTTGGCTTGCTATTCATCTTTTCGAATCTGTTCTCACAGGATCTTGTAACGGAAGTACAACGTGCACTTTTTGTAACTCTCTCAGAATTCAATGGTAGTGTAGAATATGAAGCTGACTTGGAGAATCTCATAGAACATCAGTTTGAAGCACTTCAGAAGGCGCTGAAGATACCTCACAAGGCATCAGAGGCACGTACTATGGTATCAAAAAAGTTTCTCACTTTATTTAGGACCGGTAAACTTGGTCCTTTCATTCTTGATGATGTCCCTAACGCCTCTAATTCTGTACCTTGAAATTTTGTGGCTGTTTTTTTTTAATATATCTATACTGAGCACATTTTATTATTGAATTTTCTGATTGAAAAAATGTATTTTCTCTGTAAAGAATTATTCCCCATGATTTTCTATCTACACACACTCTTTTTCTTTTTTGAAACAGGGTTAAAGCTAGCTTTGGCTGGTATAAACTCTTTTGATGTTTGTATTCTCTAGAGTTGATTATAAATTTCATTTACTTTTTTAATCTATTTGATCACTGCTTTTGCAATTACCAGTTGTAAGTTGTTAGTCTTGTCAGGAGTCTCTAATTTATGGCTTTAGTGATTCGGAGTCTTATTAGGTATCTGTGTTGGGTAGATTGGTTTGAGAATGTCTCCATGGGAATAAAATTTAGATTTAATAGGTAGAGTTCTCTTTCTCCCTCTAATATCTTCACTACATTGCTTCTTGGTTTCTCCTCTGCCTCTATGCTTCCCTAGTCTTATCTTCTTTATTCCTCCTCTTTAACTCTCTCTCTTGGTTTCTCTTTTTTCTTTATATCCTTCTGTATCTTCGTTCATATGTTCTTTCTTGTATTTCTACCTCTATCTCATCATTTCACATATCTACTTGAACAAAATTAGCATGCTATATTTACCTACCACATGTTTGAAGAAATCCTTGTCAAGGTGATGCAACATCAAGATGTCTTGTGATCAATTTTAGCATCTGGAACTCAAGTTATAGTTGTCTATATGATCTATTGCTTCTTTATGCAACTGATAATAATTATTATCTAAATAACATGCAGGGTCTGTGAAAGATTCGGTAGTAGGTGAAGAACGTATTGCTCAGTACTTACTGGCAGTTTTGAATACTCGGGGTACCCCCCTCCACTGGAAGCACTTGGTTAGTAGAAGAATAGATGGTGCAGATGAATCTGATGACAAACATGAATATAATCTCAAAGATCTTCTGCCAAAAAGGAGGAAGCCCATAAATAGATCTGATGTGCACTACATTGAGGTAACTTATGATTTGTCAGTTTCATGTGCTGAAAGACCAAGGCAGTTTTAGATTTTTATTATTGACATTGTTTGAATCCAATGTTTCTCAATCAGAAACATCTGAGGATATTCCTGAACCCTTTGGCACACTGAAAGTCATCCAGCTACAGAAAAAAACGTTCTAAAAAGGTTTAATTGGAGGCTACTTGGTCAGACTGAGTCACAAGACAAGCATGATATAATGAATATTCTCTCCCGAATCGTGATTTATTCCCATAGGACTCTGTAAGAAATAATGTATAGAGAAAGAGAGAGAATAAATTGTATGTATTATTATTGATTGATATATTGATATATTACAATGATTCATGATTCCTATATATAGAAGAGGGTGAGTGTGTAGTAGGTAAGGAGTAGGTGAAGTGGAGGTGGTAGTGGTGTAGTGGGTTAGGTTTAGTGGAGTAGGTGAGGTGGTAGTGGTGTAGTGGGTTAGGTTTAGTGGAGTAGGTTTAAGTGGGTGAAGTAGGTGGAGAGTAGGTGGATTTAAACAGACTCAATTATAATACATTGCATCAATAATTAGTGGAAATGCGTAATGTTGAAATCAAGAACCCAGTGATGTAAATCCAATTACGAGTGTTAGGTTGACATCCTTTTCACCATTATTTAGTGAGACAGTAAAATGTTTGAACTTATTGCCTGAACACAATTAGCTAGTTATGTCATTCTCTTTATTCTTCTTCATCTGCACAACTCTGTTAACAGTTGGAATGATTAGCAACGGTTTAAAGTGTTTCATACTTGGCTTGCTAAAATTTTTTTTCTTCTATTTTTATCCTTTCATCTTTTCGAATCTGTTCTCACAGGATCTTGTAACGGAAGTACAACGTGCACTTTTTGTAACTCTCTCAGAATTCAATGGTAGTGTAGAATATGAAGCTGACTTGGAGAATCTCATAGAACATCAGTTTGAAGCACTTCAGAAGGCGCTGAAGATACCTCACAAGGCATCAGAGGCACGTACTATGGTATCAAAAAAGTTTCTCACTTTATTTAGGACCGGTAAACTTGGTCCTTTCATTCTTGATGATGTCCCTAACGCCTCTAATTCTGTACCTTGAAATTTTGTGGCTGTTTTTTTTTAATATATCTATACTGAGCACATTTTATTATTGAATTTTCTGATTGAAAAAATGTATTTTCTCTGTAAAGAATTGTTCCCCATGATTTTCTATCTACACACACTCTTTTTCTTTTTTTTATTTTATTATTTTTATTTTTAAATATTGCAATGCCTTTGCTAATGAACACACGATTGAATTCCACCTTTAGGTTGGCAGTTTGTATTCGTGTCATTAATTAGCCATCGTGCTTGTTTTCAAGACCATAACAAAACTAGGAATACTGGAGCTGAAGCTGTGCTTTGTTTAGGACAGATGAAAATGTGAACAAATTTGCAGGTATGCCTTAGGCTAGTTTCATTGCTGTTTAGTAATTGACTGTGTCTAATGTGGCTTCTCTCCATGTTATGAAGTGCTTTTGGACCTGTATGGCAATTTTCTCTAGGATAGCGAGTGCCATGATAATCAAAACTTTTTTCCCTTGCAAATAATAACTCATATATGTTGTCTTCGGAGGAGCCGAAGCAATACAAACTTGCCAACTAAGATTCATTGTCAAATAGTCCCAAAGGCTGCTATCCCAATAGGCCAGTGGGAGGAAAAAGGAGAGGGCCTGAAAATCATACTACCATGGTCGGCTATGATGCAAGAACACAGGACATGACACAGATACATGGACATGTAAATTTTTAAAAAATGAGAGACACAACATATTGGGAACACGTTCAATATATATAATTTTATTTATTTAATATATGTATAATTTTTTAAAAAAATTAATACATGTTTAAAATTAATAAAAATAGTACCCACAAGATTTTAATAAAATTAATTAATTTTTATTTTTATTTTTAAATAAGGATACCAAAAAAATAGAAAGGACAAAAAAAAGGCTACTCAAAGAAAGAAGAAAAAAAAAAAAGAAAAAGGAAGAGAGAAACTAAATGAGAAATATAAAAGAAGAAAAGAAAAATGGAAAGAGAAAAGAAAAGACAAACAGAAGAAGAAAGGACGAAAAGAAGAATAGAAGAGGAAAATGAAGAAGAGAGCAGTATCAAAGAAAATGAAGCAAAGAAGAGAAGAAAACGAAGAAGAGAGCAAAATCGAATGAATCGAAGAGAACAAGAACAAAGAAGACGAATAAAAATGAAGAGAAGAAGAGTAATACCTCAGAAAGGATTAGTGATCGATCTCTTTGAATAGCGTCGGGGCTTCGATTGACTCTTTGAACAACTTTATCGCTTTGATGGATCTCTCTCTCTCTCTCTTCTCCAAAAGTTAGGTTTGGACTTCTTCGACCCTTTCTAATTCTTAAAGTTTTATCTTTTTACATTTTGTATCTTATTACAAGTTCTAAAAATTATAGTTTGGCCCCACAAGTGTCTACAGCATGTCTTTACGTGTCTGACTGCAAATATTAAATAAAAAAAAAAGGGACACGTCTTGTAGAGTGTTCGACACGTGTCCACTGCGTGTCTATGTTCAACACATGTCGAACACTTATACATTACTATTGGAGAGATGTTCTTACTTCATAAATGGTTGAAAAAGCATTTTCCCTTCAAATAACATGCACCCTAGGTCAACCCATGCCTTTTTTTTTTTTTTTTTCTCTGAAAAACAAATCAAATCTAATGCATTATGAAGTACTATGTTATGCTCTAAAACTCGGATGCAATATAGCGACCCTTGAATTGCATAATTGCTTGTTTTCTATGAGTCTACATTTTTTTTTAAATAGTCAAAGTACTAATCCCTACTTGATTCTTCGGAATGCATTAATTTCATTTGGAAGGTTCATAGGTTCTTTATGAATAATGCTATATGTACTAACTGCCGTGTTACATAGGCCGAATGGACAGAGGCTCGATTGCCCCGAAAATTCAAACGACGTCGTTTGATTATTTTTTATTTTTTCCTTTTCTTCTTCCTTCAGTCTCTTCTTCCTTCCCCCTCTTTGCTGTGCTGCTCTGGAGCTCACTCAAAACTCAACAAACAAACAAACTCAAAAAAAAAAAAATCAAAAATCAAACACACACAGCAACAGCAACATCAATAGACAAACCCAAATCAAAAATCAAAACTCAAAAATTCTCACAAATCACCAAATCTACACAAATCAAAAAAATAAAAATCAAAATAAAAAAATAAAAATGAGGGGAAGAGAGAAGAACAGAGAAAGCAGAGGAGGAAGAAGGAGGAGCTCTCCGTCGATCTGTGTATACACACATAGATCTCTCGTCGCCATCATCATCACGCCGTTGCTCTTCTCTCTTCCTCCTCTTCTCTCTTCCTCCCTCTTCCCTCTCCCTTCTCTCTTCTCCTTTCTCCCTTCTCTCTTTTCTCTTCTTGCTGTTTAAGGAGAGGACCAAAAAAAAAAAAAATGAAAACGACGTCGCTTTCAATTTCGGGGCAATCAAGCCATCATCTTTTCGAGCCCTCAAGCTTTATTCATGTACTAATTAGTGTATTAACTAGTATACCAATACTAGTTATGACATTATTATTAATCCCACTAATTAAACAAATTATAAATACCAAAAACTTCTTAAATTATGTTATATCATCAATTGGTACACTAGGTAGGCCATGTTTGGCAAGTGGTGATTTTAGCCAAAAAGTCACTAAAAAAATTAAAAAGCCAACGACCTATATCAAAAAATCAAAAATTTTCCTTTCTCTTTACTTTTTGCACATCTTTTCGTAAAAAATCAAAAGTCATTCTAAACATACTAGTTTTTTTACATCATATTTTAGCCAAAAAGTCAAAAAAAATTACTACACTAATTGGTACATGTAGTACCACCGGTTCTTTAGTATTGTGTTCAAGTCCTTAGAAGTGAAAATTAGGGATGGTAATGAGGGTTAATGAAGTGGATATTAAATGGGGGTGTACACGATCCGGATTGGTTCGGTTATGAGAAAATCCAAGAACCGAACCAATCTTAACGGTTTTGTGATTTTGAGAACCAGACCAGACCGTTACATTTGTAAAACCGGACCAGAACGAAACTGAAAAAACGGTTCGGTTTCGGTTTAGTTTACGGTTCTAAAAATTTTTATTTATAAGAATAAATTGTTAATATTAACAAAATAATTACTCAAACTAATTACATTTAACTCGTGATAAAAACTAATAATATTATGGCATTACTTAATATTACATATATATACCATCCTAATATCATTAAAATTATATAAAACCAATTAATAAAAATAAAACTTGATATTAATATATATATCTGTTAAAATTCGGTTCGGTTCGGTTCGGTTCAAACCGCGGTTTTTTCATAAAATCTATTAACCGAACCGTTTTTACGGTTTTCATATTTCTTAATCCGAAACCGAACCAATTCTTAATAGAACCGAACCAAACCTTATGATTCGGTCTGGTTCGGTCCGGATTACCGGTTTGAACGGATTTTTGAACAGCCTTAATATTAAATTCTCCATCCCTATTTTCCTATAATAAATTTTTTTCGTTCCCCATTTCCCATTCTCCATGAGTACTATCCTCCCAATCTCCTAATGGGTTTGAATTTTTCCCAACCCAACTCGACTCTTTATTTTTTTTTATTTTTTATTTTGAAGGTTAACAACCAAATTTTTTTTTTTTTAAATGTTCACAACCAAAGTTAATGTTATTTTATTTTATTTAGTTCAATAACAAGATCAGATACATATTAATTAATTAATTAGAAAGTTTGTTTTAAAATAATCAAACTCAGGACCCAACAAATCAATTACCAAAAAAGCACAAAGAAAAAACAGAATATCCCAAAGAATAGCAACATTGAACAATTATAACAAGACCAAAGAAAAACAATAAACAAACAAAAATTAAAATTAAAAAGGGTTTTGTTCAATTGCATTTTATGTATAACTCTGTGAAAGTCCCAAGAAAATAGATAGACAGTAAATCAATTTCATCTTCCACATGAGAATTCACAATTGATTTAAATCCATAGCTTTAAACAACATTGAATTAAAATTTCCATGAATCAAAGCAATAACTCTGTGAAGCTAATCATATTTTCTGCCGATTGATGCATAAGTCTCTTCGACAGGTTTCGCCAATTGCAAAAGAGTGCCGCTAGTGTCCAACAACAATACATTATATGCTCTCTTAACCAACCTTCTTAAGAAAGGGGAGAAAACCTAAATATTGCTGTTTGGAAGATGAGAAAGTGGCAGAAAAGGAAAAGAAAAAGAAAAAGAAAAAGAAAATTATGCAAATTATGATGGGAAAATACCTGGGTGAAGAGTAGAAGAGAATGAAGAGGATCAAATAGATGAATTTGTAAACACACCCAGAACAAGAGAGAAAGAGAAAACGAGATAGAGAAACTTACCACGCCACAGAACCACTGTGGTAACACCAACGGAGATCTCCGTTGCTAGATCGTTGCCTTCTCAAATCCGATGGAGGTTGTTGCCTTCACCGAATCGCTACTATGTAAGAATGAGAATGAGAAAACCGTGACCCTAAACACAACATATAGGGAAATGGGCGGGCACCCATTCCCGACCCATATCCTATGAATATTTAAAAAATCCCACTTAATTAATCTAACGGGTTAAAAAAAAGGGAAAAAATCCTATATATTTGGGTCGGATCTTCATGAATATCCATAGGGTAGGATCCCTATTGTCATCCCTTGGAAATAGGTCCCTCCATTAGAGGGGGCTGCAAATTAAAGTTATGTTTGTTTGGAAGATTTAAGAAGAAATTTAAAAAGGAAAAGAAAAAAAATAGGTGAAATGTGAATAACATTAATATAATAAAACAAAAAGGTTTTTGAATCTTCAACATATTTTTGTCCTACTGGGACATTTGGATGACTCATATTTGTTTAAATTATAAAAAAATAATTGAGATATATTTTTCAAAAAATGTCCTACACGTATATTTTCTACTTTCTCGCCTCTCTCTCTTACTTTTTCATTTTCTCATCCATCCTTCCATGATCCCACCTTTCTCCCTCTTTTCTTTTCTTTTTATTTTTTTTTCTTTTCTTTCATTTTTATTTTTTTCTCTACTTGAAATTATATATATGCTAGGCACATCTATCTATCTAGCTATATATTATATAAGCAAAAGCGAGTATTGGTGAAGAATTTTGTGAGAATTCCAAAATTTTACAATAAATTTATGAATTTATCGAATTAAAAAATAAATTTAAATAGTATTGAGTTACGATTATATTCTAATCCTAATATTATTTACACCATAGTTGAAGGTACAGGCATACGCTAGTATATCTATATTTTACTTAATTTCACATATCTTTTATATTTTTTTTTCAAATCTCTTTCCGAATTTCTCAATCAATTTTTTGAGAAAAATATACCTGCGGCCCTTATGGTTTTCCCATTGAGAATTTTATTTTCTGATAAATAGGACCCTGAGACCAAGACCTAGACCTTTCACATAATTTTTTAAATATATATATATATTTTCCCCAGATAAATGAAAATGATATCAGAGGCCCTTTATGTTTCTTTTTTAAGGGTAAATTACACTTATCAACTGAAATTTAGAGAAAAATATAATAAGCACAACAAGTTTTGACATATAATTACACAAATTTCTCTTTTAATGAAGGTTAAAGAAATCAAAATTTACAGATGGTGTGTAGAAACATGGATAAATAAGACTGCTATTCTCTTGAGAAAACTTTAGTATAATAAAGATGATAAAATTATTTTTTTCATCTATACGATTAATAAATTTTCATATAATAAGATCAAATATTATATAAATTAAAATTGAGTCGTGCTGGGTAGCTCGAAATGAGCTACCCCGAATCCCCCTAATTTTATTTTATTTATTTATTTATTTTTTATTTTTTTATTTTTTTCAGAAGCAGAGAAGGAGGAGGGGAGGAGGAAGGAGGAGGAGGAAGAGGAGGAAGGAGGGGACTACGACGGCGGGGCTGGGCTGCGATGACGACCGGCGGCTGGGCGACGATCGGCGACTGGGCATCGGCGATCGACGGTCGTCTTCTCTCTCTCTCTCTCTCTCTTCCCCTCCCCTCTGCTTCTCTCCCTCTCCCTCTTCCTGTTTCAGAGTCAAAAATGGAGAAAGAAAAAAAAAAAAAAAAAATCTCCAAAACGACGTCAATTTGGAGATTAATTCAAGCCCTCAAACATTATTCATTAAAATTTTAGCAGAAATTAATATAACTATTTCAAATTTGTGGGACTCATTGGTGTAATTTTTATCACTGAGATTGAGACGTGGCATGTGCATTAAGGTTGGCACTGAAAGTCCCATGATGTGGATGGGACCCAATTGATTGTAGTTTTTGTCAAATCCTTTGGTTTTTTTTGGTTGTCTATAATATGTGGAATGTTGAATTCAATTATTCATGAAAATATCTAGGGAGAAAATATCATATCATCAGAATTTTTATAAAAATGATGTGGTAATGTTAATATTATAATTAAATATTTTTTCAATGACTCTTTACTTTTTAATATTGATTTAAAACACTATCACATTATTTTGCATATATTTTTTATATAATTTTTTAAAAAATATATATACCGTTATTTTATTTGAAGTTGTAATTTTTGCATTATCATTATTTCATTGTCATTGCCTGGTTCTATTTAATGACTTGATCCAATCACCGCCATTACCTATAGGATGGAGGGGACCCTACCAATCACTACCTTGTGCCTTTTAACTTACATGCAACAAAGGCAATACAATTCCTTAAATTCTGCAAAAGAATAACAAGATCTTGTCAATGTGGAGAACAAAAAGAAAGGCTTTTTGTGAATGTGCCCTTTAGCACTCGTAAATTGTACATATTTTAGTAGTTATATTTTTATGAAGAATTACAATTATTTTAAGCTTGATGTGTGCCCTAAGAAACCCCAAAAAATTTGGATCCAATTTATTATAAATCATACTTTTCATTAAAATATAATGTCTTTATTACACACTATTGTCTTTAAAAGTCGGTTTTATGGGACAACTTTGTACCAAATAGGTTTGAGTTTTAAGTCAAATTTTATCCCTTTTACCTTTAAGTTAGAATATATAAAATGTTGTACTTTTTAAAAGAAAAAAAGAAAAAAGAAAAAATATCGGTTTGGAAGAGGACTGTGTCCAAGAATTTATATATTGCATGGTCAAATTTGTGTGGTATTTGTATTGATAATTATTTGATCATGGAAAATTTTGTTATACACATTCCGAAAGAGTTATATTTACTTTCATATTTAGCCATTGGAGCTAAAAATATTCATCTAAGTCATTAAGTGTAATCATATTAAGTTGTAACTAATACCATATTAAAACATAATTGAAACATAATTTTGGTGCTAATCAAAGTTACTGCAATGAGTGATATAACTAACATAATTTTTAGTTCTAATCATAGAATTGTAATAACTGTTGATTTGGAAATTTGTTGGTTCTACAACCACAACAATTTGTAACTAAATACCACAATCATTTATAATCAACATCAATTAACTTATATGTAACCCCAAGGGATTGGCTAGAGATTTGCTGATCCTGAAGAGCTTCTATTTACACACTTTGTTTCAATTAAAATTATTTTTTAGTTCAAATATCAATTTTGAACCGAAAAAAAAAAAAAACAATTGCTTGAATATTTGAATGACAAAATAATCTTTTCACTTCTAATCTCACACGACATGAATAATTCCATTCTCACTTTACAAAACAAGAAGCTCACATTTTATCTAGCGAGAGATTCCACAGAATGTCATTGAGTTAGTTCCAATTAACAAATATTATCACACTCAAAACAAAAAATGAAAACAAATTTTATTGTAAAGTGCGTAGAGCACATGTTCGAGGAATTGCCTAAAAAACACAAAGGCAAATCCGGAAGACAAGAGAGAGGGAGAGAGGGAGAGAGGGAGAGAACATTATCCTTTGTGGTTGAACCTGTGGAGGACATTTGTAGGGCCAACCATCTGTCCCTTGTTGCTTTTCCATGCTCTGCTTTCACATCCGGTGGTGCTGCTGATTCTGATTCAGGCCCTCTCTCTCTCTCTCTCTTAGCTTTCATCTTCTGCATCGTCATCATGTCCATGTATATCAATGCATTGTAAGGACGACAGCTATGAATCTCTCTCTCCCTTTCTCTCTCCTCTTCCTCATTCTTTGTTCTTGTTCCTTTCTCTCTACCAATCTGGCTTTATTTTCTCATTCTACCTCATATCCTAGTAATTAATTATTACAATAAAGCTCAACCAAGTTAGTTAAAACCCCCCATTTGTCTTCTTCTCTAGCTTTGTATGTTTTTCTTATAGACCCATCTCTCTCACTCCTCATTCTTCATAATTTCATAGCATTTTCCAGAACCCAACAAGGAGGGTCAGAGATAATGCCCCTTTTCAATCTCCTCTTGAAGAACAAGAACAACCTTCTCTTGCTTTTCACAATTTCTGCTCATTTCTTCCAAGCTTCTGCAGGGTTTGGCAATGTCGGAAGAAAATTGTTCATGGCCAACATTCCCAGCTCAGCAAATCCTCCATCTCCGCCATCGCAAACAACGCCACTCAGGCCGAGCATAGCGATAATTGTAGGCGTTTTAACCATCATCTTATCCATCATCTTTCTATTACTTCTATATTGCAAGCATTGCAAAACAGGAGCCAATGGCTTCTCCGGCAGGCTCCCTCCGTCTTCGTCCTCTAGAAAAAACTCCGGCGTCGATCGAACCGTCATCGAATCGCTTCCGATGTTCCGGTTCGGATCGCTGAGAGGCGACAAGGATGGGCTCGAATGCGCGGTTTGCTTGAACCGGTTCGAGCCGACGGAGGTGCTGAAATTGTTGCCCAAATGCAAGCACGCTTTCCATGTCGAATGCGTCGATACTTGGCTCGACGGCCATTCCACTTGTCCTCTCTGCCGATACCGAGTCGATCCAGAAGACATCCTCCTCGTCGGCGAAGATTCTGGAATTCTAGGGCAAAAAAACGAGCCCTTACCACCGCCGCAAGGATCTGATGAAATTCAGAGATCGGAAAGTTTACGGCGAGTTTCCGGGAGGCACTCATCGGCGGAGGATCGACAAACCGGCGCGAAATCGGAAAACCACCACCACCACGACGGCGGCGGCGACGCGGCGGCGGAGAGGAGATCGTTGGATAGCTTGGACAATAGAAAGAAGAAAAATGAGAATAAGAATAGATGTGAGATCGTTTCAGTCGGGTGCTTTGAGAATCATCAGCCTCGGAGAGACGAGATCTTGTTAGCGGAGCCGGAGGAGGAGGAGGAGGATCAGCGGCACCGGTTGGAGCACCGGATCATAATTTCGAACGCCGTAGACGGCGGAGGAGAAGGAGGCGGATTGAATCATAGATGGAGCGATGCTCAGGCGTCGGAGATGCTGTATCTGCGGACGGAGATGATAATGAGCGACAGTCGGCGGTTTTTGGGACCGTCACGGGGGCGACAGGCGGAGCTGGTGGCTGGGGTGAGTGGCGGAAGCGTAATAAAGGGGAGGAGTGTGTCGGAAATCACTGGGTTTAGAAGGTTTGGGAACTCGAGGAGGACGAGGAGTTATCGCCACCAACAACCACCACAATGCCACCACCAGTGGCAGTGGCGGTGGCAGCGGGGGAGAGAGAGAGAGGAAGAAGAGGAAGAAAGACATGAAGGAGTTGTTTCGAGATGGTTGGCTTGGATTTCTCATCATTCCCATTCCCATTCCCATTCCCATTCCCATTCTCAATCACAAACACAGCAGACACTGCCGGCTGTACGGTCCGGATCAACTGCTTCATCATTAGCATAGTTATTAGAAAAATGCTTGGAGCACTAATTAGATGGCAGTGTGTCTCACCATTAATGATGTGATGTTTTGGTTTTAGAGTTGTATTTTTTTTTTACTTTTTTAATGCATTAGTGCTATTAGTGGTGATGTTTTTAGTGAGATGAATCATTGTTGATAGTTGTTATTCTTGGGAGAATCCAAGCCTTTTGGGTCACAACAATGATTCATCCCACTAAAAATATCACCACTAATAGCACTAATGCATTAAAAAAATTAAAAAAAAAAAAATATAACTACAAGACCAAAACATCACATCTTTAATGGCTAGACTCACTGCCACTTAATTAGTGGAAACACTAATTAGTGCTCCCAAGCATTTTTCTTTGGGTCACCACATTGATGATCAATATGGATGTAGAGTTTGTGTTTTATTTCTGTAAAAAATATAAGTTAATCCGTTATCATAAATTACTTGATCAAGTTATATTTATATTAATAGTAATTATAATTTTAAAAATAAATTATTAATATAAATATAATTTAATTAAATAATTATTGATATTCAATTAATATAATTTTTTATAAACATAAAATATTTAATAAATTTTATATATTAAACAATATAAATTTTGGATGCGGAAGTCCAACAACGCCCTTTCAGTTGAAAAACCCAAATAGAGATAACCTAATTCCATTATTCTTACACATGCCCATGCTAAATCCTCTTGTGCAAAATTATAGTTTAGAGAAAAATTATGTGCCTAGGATGTAGAGAATGTTTTCAGTCTCCACGTGGCCAATTTTTTTTTTTGTTCTTTTTAGAAATTACATATGAACAAAAAAGTAAAAAAATTTAGGAAGGGTTTGAGATAATCTAAATAAGTAATGTATTTTTTGACTTTTTATGAAATATGAGTTTGATATGAGTTGGGTTTGAAGTGATATGTTATAGAGGTAATGTGGCTTAAATAAGATGATGTGACTTAAATAGAATAATGACTTTTTAATTTTTTTAGGGGATGACAAATAAGGCCTTATAATTATAATTATTAATATTTATTATCTTTTTGTAAATATTTTTTTTTTCTAATTTCACAGATTTTTTTTTAATTTTATTTATTTATTTATTTATTTTTTTGCATTAAGTTCAAAATTTTCATGCAACCATTTTTTTTAATAATAAAAAGAGAGAATTTAAGTGCATAAAATAATTTTTAAATAATAAATTATTACTGCGAGATAAAAGATAATTTCTACAAGTAAAGTTTCACTTATTTGGGTTCCACATCTTCGTCTAACAGATTTGTTTTAGAAATTGTATTGGAGTATGTTAGTAGGTAATGGATGATGTTTGATGTTAGCAATTTGTAAAAAAAATGTATAAATTAATAAAAAAAGTGTTTTAGAAATTGTATTGGAATATGTTAGTAGGTATTGGATGATGTTTAATGTTAGCAATTTGTAAAAAAATGTATAAATTAATAAAAAAAGTAAATGAAATTATGAAAAATGTGTATTGAAATTTTAAGTTTTTTAAAACTTTATTTGACCCTTAATATGACTTTATGTGACCCTTAATATGACTTAGGGAACCTCTCTTTATATATATTGAGCCTTCTAGATTTTTCTTTAAAAGATTGAAATCCCAAAAAAATAATAATAATTTAGAATGAAATATGAATATCATTGTTTTATTATTATTATTATTATTATTATTGTAGTTGTAATTCACAATAGTATATGATTGGATAAACATGTGCCAAAATTATTATTGTAGTTGTAATTCACAATAGTATATGATTGGATAAACATGTGCCAAAAGAATAGATATAAACACACAATAGTGAATACTATCTATCCATCTATAGTTTTATATATATATATATATGAAGGTTTGTGATAGTGTTAACGTCTTATATTTTAAGTTTTTTTAAAATATCTCTATAGTTGATATTTATATAAAATTATATTAAAAAAATGATAGGACTCGAAATCGAGATATGGGTTTAATAAAGAAGATACTTACCAATCGAACAACACAAAATGTGTGTACATTCCACTTTATTCTTATACTATTACCATTTTTTTTTCCATACGTGTGTAGACGGCTAGTCTTACTTAAATTGTAATCCCAAAAAAACAAAAAAGGAATATCCTGTTCAATTGTCTCCAATCCAATGATATATTTTTCATTGTTAAAAGTGTTCATCAGCTGGAGCTAACCATCAATGAACTAATCGGATTAACTAATCAAAACTAGTTCGAGTCATTATGTAACATCCTATCAAGTGCCCAAAATAGTAATAATAATAATAACCAACATCACTTGGGTGTTTCTCAAAGCTTAGAAGAAGAAAGAGAGCTTGAAATTATGCACATTTGGCATCACTAGGGTATGAAAATCATGATATTTTAGCGGAATATCACAACAATAATCAGGTTTGCACCCATGTCATAAGAGACCTTAGGACCTTTTGTTCTTGCACTTCACAGAGTACACTCTTGAATATATCAACTTTTTTGAGGAAGAGACTATGAAAAACAGACTCAGTGCTCTCCTGATCCACAAGTAGGTGTAAAAAATAAAAATACGAAAACATTGGGGCCTCGAAAATTGTAATGATGCATTGTGAACTCAACATGGATAATCTAGAGTGCTGTTGATCAATACAAGGGTTCACTGTAGAGTTACAGGGTATTATTATTCAACTAGCCACGGAAGAAACAAAATTGAATCAAGCGATAGAATCACAGGCCAAACAAGCATTTTGAGAGGTACAAGGAAAAAAAAGAAGAAAAAAAAGAAAAACTCACTTATTTGCTTCAATGAACTCTTTGTATTCCTTCTTCATTTTGACCCCTGACACATTCCTGCATAACCAGGCATAGAAGAATTGGCAGCCAAAACTAGCCCTTTTTTTATAAGCTAAATTTAGGCTAATTTTTTTTAATAGATTAGTGATATGAGAATCATTTCCAAAAATTATTTTCCCTCTAAAGTTATGGAACAGACTAAAGTAGGGGTGTTCAATAAACAAATTCACCCTAGGTTACCGATAAACCTGACTCAAAAAATCATGTAATGGAAGTTTTGAGAGAGAAACCGGTCAGCTGCGGGTGGGAAGTTCAATTTTATTTTGTATGTCAGTCTAGTCTCAGTTTCCCTAAATTAAGTTTCTAATATAGTTTGCGCAGAATAAGAGGTCAGTTGAAATTGCCGAATGTCGCCTAAATCTACTGAGAAGTGAAGGAAAAATATTGAGAAATGAAAAAATCCTATGCCAAGAAGAAGAAGAATTATCTAGAAGGGGAAGAAGAGAAATTTGAATTCATGCATATAGAAAGTGAAAGGACAAAATTTGACCAACCTGATCATTTCCTTGTTCTTGAAAAATTGGACGCATGGTGTGCCCATAATTCCAGCTGCCTCTGCAATCTCGGGATCTTCCTCGATATCAATTTCAACGAAATGTACATTTTGATCAAATTCCTCTATCACCTGCCATTTGTGAAATTCAGGAAAAAAAATAAAAAAAAAGATTCAGCACATAACATAGTAACTCATTGACAGCAGAGAGATTTGAAACATAAACATGCATTCAAAATTACAAATCACAATATTGGAATGAATTCTGGTACCTTGCTAAGAATTGGCTTCAATGTCCTACATGGACCACATGTTGGTGCAGTGTACAGTACACATATAAGCCTCGGACTTTCATGGTACAATTTTCGTAGAGCATACTGCAAGGAAGAAAAAAGGCGAAGCTTAGAGCTCAAGAGAATTATGGTCATGAAGGAACTCGTGATTTGATCATCAGACATCACAACAACATAGAAAATTCATCAAATTGATTCAAGCCTCTCAGAAAATAATATACCTGGCCCTTGTGCTTTGTAAGTGTGATGTCAAAACCCTCTTGTACATCTCTGTCTGTGAGTTCCTTCTTAACCTCTTCAGTCTTAGGCTGTTAAAAAAATTCACAAAATAGTGAGATTCACATAAAATTACAGTTTTCACCCACTTCATAATATGGCATTCACTAAAATAATATTCCAAAAATTAATACCCACTTTCAAGTGAAAGTGACTAACTGAAATACGAACTTGGTCTTCTACAGCTCAAATGAACCTATAGTTATGATTTTCCTCAAATGTTCCACACTAAGAATGACCAAATTTAAGTTAAGGAATATGCATGACATTTTTCTTGAGAATATATGTGCACACATAAAAACTGGAGAGCATTTGTGTGCCTAAAAACAAGTAAACCTCAGCTTTTGCTAGTCTCTATGCAGCCAACACATATCCAAACTGTGTTATCAAGTTTAATTTAGGGAGATAAAAAAAAAATTAAAAATTAAAAAAAGGGCTATGCACTGGGGAACAGTTTCAGCTGCAATGCCTAATCTTTATTCTTCTGTGTGCCAAAATCCTTATCACTATTGCAGAACTCAAGCTGAAAGGCATAGAAAACCAATAGAAGGATGACCACTAAGACCATTTTGGTTCAAGATGGTGAATAAATCATCTGAGTGGCCCAGTCATGTTTTGCACAATGGGCACTGACCAACCAAGTTGAGTATCAAGCACTATGGGTTGCGTTGGAATGGCCAGCATTTATAGGCATAGGAACTTCACCAGTTTCACAGATTAAGCAGTGCTCATGTCCAGTTTGTCTAGGACGGAAGACAATAGGTGCAATATCAAAGTGGTTTGTATGATATTAGTCCAATTAATGAGCTACAAATTAGTTTGCTATTAGATAACACAACACATTTTCAGGTAATATATCCAAGAGAGAAGAACATTTCAAATAGAACACAATCAGAACTGAGACTACCTGGTGAAATTCAACAAGGAGATTGTTGCTGGTAAGATATCTCTCAACTGATAAAGCAGCAATGCATCCTGAACCAGCTGCAGTTATGGCTTGCCTCCATTCATGGTCCTATACAAAGATCAAGAAACTGAAATGCAAAATAGTCTCAAATAATTACAAGTTCAATGACAAATACAAATATGTAAGATCTTGATATATATGTTGAGCCCATGCCCTAACAGATTAAACTTTTGAGGCAACTGGTTGCTTAACATGTTACTAGAGCTTTAGTTCTAGACATCACATGTGCAAATATCATTGTATTTGTTTGTACCTTATAATATGTTTGTCCATGTGTCAGTTTAGCTTGTGTTAATTTGTATCTTCATGTGGGATAGGGGGTCACAAATAAAGGGAGGGTGTGAGAGCTTAAAACATGTGTTGGGCTTATTTCCTAATAGGTTAAGCTTTTAGAGCAACTAGTTAATGTTACATTACAAAACCCAAGAGTATCATGAAAATTCTTATCAAACTAGGATTTTATTCATCTCTTCTATCAATATATGAATTGGGCAAGTGTCCCTACAACAGGCAAAACTAACTTGTTCTACACCTGTACTGATGGAGTATCAGTACCCAAATAGGTAAACGCATCCATTTTGAAGTGCATAAGAAGCAGAGTAAGTGACACATAATGAACCTGGAGAGTTTCATAAAACATAGAATAGAAGCAGATGGAGAGTGTCATAAAACATAGAATAGAAGCAGATGGAGTGTTTCATAAAACATACAATAGAAGCAAAAATTAATTAAGTTTTGAAATAGTTACCTGTACATCTCCAGCTGCGAATACACCTTCAACAGAAGTTTCCGCACTACCCTCCTTCACCAACACATAACCTATGCTGTCAAGTTCAACTTGACCTTCCAACAATTGGCTATTTGGGGAATGACCTATCCCATAGAATAAGCCTTTTGCCTCAAGCACAGATTCCTCTCCAGTATCAAGTTTTCGAACCAAAATGCCAGACATTTGCCCTTTCGTATTGCTAACAACATCCACAGTCTCTGTATTGAAGTGCACGGAGATATTTGGGCTGTTGTAAACTCTGAAACATTCGCCATAATCAACCTGTTAAACAAACATTCAGGGAGTTGAAACTCAACATCTAAATTGTTCATTAGTAGCTCAATTCACCAAAAAGAGGGGGGGGGGGGGGGTTGCGGGGAAGAGCAATCCATTAAATACTCAAAATCATGGTTCAGCCAAAAAAGAAGAGGGTGAAAGAAAAAGAAAGAAAGAAAGAAAGGAAAGAGAAAATAATCACCTGAAACAAACTTTGGTCAAACTTTCCTACCCAGATATCATAATGCCCAGACAAGCAATCATGTGAAACAAGTAATACAAATGCCCAGACAAACAATCATGTGAAATCAATAATACAAGTTTAGGGACCATAGTAACATTTCAGAACTTCGGGGGCAATACCACAGGTGAAGAATATAAGAAGAAAAAGCTTAAATAGACACCCTTCCAACTAAGGAAATACTTCAATAATAGTTTCCTAAACAATATTCCTACAGAGGAAATATAACATAAGCAGTTTTACACAAGCATGTTATAACAGCCTAAATAAATAAATAATTCATCTTAACTCACCTATCTTGCATTGCCTTGGATGCCCTTAGGTGGTCCCTGCGTACAAGCAAATGCACATGACGAGCATATTTAGTCAAGTATAATGCTTCCTCTGTGGCTGTATCACCTCCTCCAACCACAGCAAGAACTTGCCCCTTAAATAGTGGCGATGCTCCATCACAAATTGCACAGGCACTAATTCCTCTACTCCAAAACTCTTCTTCACGAGGTAATCTCAGCTTTTTTGCAGTAGCTCCTGTGGCCACAATAACACTTTGGCACTTTACCTGAAAAGCAAAGGTGAACAAGAAAACTTTACGACTCACCTAATAATAGTTTACAAGGACCAATAAGTAAGAACACCACAACCATTGGCATAGATGCAGGTAAAGGAGCAGGGACACCAAAACTTGACACATGGCTATGGGGCACGGCCACATACGACACAGCCAGAGCATTTAATGTAGAAATACATACATGTTGTCAGACTGATCACATAAAGTGATATATATATATATATATATATATTTGTGCATATATATACACATGTAGAGATAGAAACACACATACACACAATCTTCTTGTCTCGATGTGTCCCTCTTTATATTCATATATATATGTGTGTGTGTGTGTGTGTGTGTGTGTGTTTTTTTTTATGACATGGAACTCCAATATTATAAATTTAGGCAACCATTTCATTATATAGATAGAGCTATATGCCACAAAAAATAAACATCACCTTACGTTCACTACTTTGGATGGTAAAAGGACTGTTCTTCACATCAATAAATTCTACATCTTCTTGGAATAATTCTGCTCCCCAGCGCTCAGCTTGACGCCGCATCCTAGTTAGCAAAAAAATGCCAAATTTCTTATTTGTATTGAAAACTGTAGCAACCCACATAATCAATTGACATGTGAGAATCAGACAAAGTCCAAGAAGTCCATTTTCAAACTTTTGATTTACCGATCCATCAAATCAGGACCGCTTATTCCTTCTGGAAACCCTGGGAAGTTCTCCACTTCAGTGGTGGTCATCAATTGCCCACCAGGAACGCCACCTATTTGATACCCCTCAAACACAACAGGTTTCAAGTTGGCACGAGCTGCGTAAATTGCTGCTGTGTATCCAGCAGGACCTGAACCTATAATTACCAGATTCTCGACACCTTGTACTGCAAAATGGAAAATTTTAATTCCATATTTAAAATCCACATCTTTCCATAATTTCACATGTCAAATACTAAAACAATAAAGAATGAAAATTATATCCATACCAAGATACTTAGGCTGTGTTTGGTTGGTTGGAGGATTTAATGAAGAAAATGGAAAGAGAAAGGAAAATAAAAAGAAAAGAGAAAAGAACCGATAGGATTCAAATTGCAAGTTATGTTTGGTTGAGTTGGGAAATGGAAAAAGAAAATAGCCTAAGGTTGTGTTTAGTTCATGGATTTGGAAAAAAAGGAAAATGATAGGTGAAATGTGAATGAAATATAACTACATTTCACACGCCTTTTCCCTTTCCATGTCCAAATTCTTGCCCAAATTCATGAACCAAACACAGATGAACCAAAATGACAAAAAGTGGGATTGAATTTCTCTCTCATTTGTTTTTCTTGTGTTTTCCATTATAACCAAACAAAATGTGGGATTGCATTTCATTTTCCAACTCCATTTCTCTCATCAAATCCTCCAACCAAACACAGGAGAAAGCATGGTTACAAGAATAAAAATAAATATTAGACAATAACTTTCTACTCCCCTTATCTTCAAATTAATTTGCAACTTGCCATGAAACTTTAATCCCGAGGCTAGGCTGTCTAGCTTGACAAATAACTTTCTACAAAAAAATTTGTAGGTTTTTTACATTCAATATCATCCTCACTTTCATGTAGATACATGATTGATAAAAAAATCTCATTGCATTGAATTTACTTGTATCACTTTCTACAAGCACTGGTAATCTAACAAGTAACATGTGGACATTGCTTTCAAACCCCAAACTAAATACCAGACATTTAATATAGTGAGAAAAAAGCAAATTAATGTCTAAATACAACAACGAAGAGAATTCCACACAGAAACCTAAAATTGAAGAGAGAGAGAGAGAGAGGGAGAGAGAGAGAGAGAGACCTGAAGAGGTAGGGAGCTCATCTGAAGAGGAGGCTCTGACGCGAATCGACGAACGAGTCAAGGCGCGATGAGTTAGGGAGACCGAGTCGGCGCGGCGAATGGGGCGGCGGCGAGTCGACCCGGAGGCTCTGAGTAAGATGATAGTGTGGGGAGTAGGAAGAGAGAGAGCGTTGGAGAGAATGGTGGTCGCCATGGTCGCTCGCTGAGTCAAGCTTCCGACTCCGTTCGGACCATACAATATCATATCGTATTTCTCTCTCAACCAACTAATTGTTTTCTTCTATTCTATTCCTGTTTTTCCCATCCCAAGGCCTCGTTTGGTTGGAATGGATTTTTTGGGACAAAAAATTGCATTAAAAAAACAAACAAAAAAACGTAGTAGTGGATTTTTATGGTCGTGTAAGTTTTTTGTGTTGTGCAAATTTTTTTACATGTCAAAATTGCACCCAAAAAATAAAAAATAATCTGTAATGTAATTACCTTATAACTATTCCATATATTTTCATTTTTTAAAAAAAAATTATATCAACGTTCCTGACTTTGGAGTTTAAATGAAATTCTAATAGTTTGTATTTTAAATTTTAAATTTTTTTCTTCTAACTTTTATATTGTAATTATTGATGTGAAGATAATAGTTGTGGTGGCAGTGAAGGGATGGTGGTAACGATGATGGGGTGGTGGTTGTGATGGAATGATAGTGGTGGTTACAGTAACAATAATAATTGTAGTGAAAGTAAAGAGTTGTAGTAATTGTGATGATAATTGTAATAGTGATAATAGTTGTGTTGATGGCGACGACTGTGAAATCACACTAGTGTACAACATGTATAATTGATTATAAAAATTGTTAGTATTAAATAAGAATTTTACTATTTAATTTTTAAAATTTTAATTTACATTTTTAAGTGATACAAATTATAATATTAAATGAATTTAATTAATTTTTACATATTTTTAATTTTACGTATTGAAGTAAATTATTAAACACTGATTATATATGATATTGAGGCCTCTTTTGGCAACATAGTTTGTAAGTTGTTTATTAACTTATTAATATCATATCATCTCTATTTTTTTTATAATAAGTAAAATAATTTATAAATTATATCCAAAATAACTTTACATGTCAAATTTTAAAATGTTGGAAAACGTACACCACCTATTACACATCGCCTCAATTGTATCATTCTAATCCAAGGGGTGTGATAATTTAGTAAGATCTTGGGTAGGGGTGCAAAGATGGCCCGCGGCTCGTAGGCGGTCCGAAATCCACCCGTGGCCTGGGGTGGGCCAGGTTTGGTTAGACCCAGGCCTGAGCCCAGCTCGGGACCCTAGGCCTGGACTGCCATTTTGAAGCCCAGCTCGACCTACTTGGCCCAACCCATGATCTGGCCTATTGGCCTGCTTAAGGCCCACTCAGAACCCGACCCACCCAAGGCCCAATGCCAACCGGCCCAACTAGGCTTGAATTTTTGCGGGAGCCCTCGCGGCCCAACACAGGCCGGTCTTAGCCCGAGCTCGGGCTATTATTACACCTCTAATCTTGGGGTATAAGTCTTGAGGTTTTAGGTTTTAGATTTCATTCTCCCAGACTTAGTCATCTAGGTGAGAGCATATATGGTTAGTAGGATGAACCTTTTAGACTTGGGCGAACTGTACCCAATGTTAGGAGTGTGGGTTCAAATCCCTACTTGTGTGCGAGACCACGACTTACTGCTACATAATTAAATAACTCTACTGTGTCGCACCACCTAAGAGTGATCTCTGGAGCCTTGACTCCTTAAAGTGTAGCCCCAAAGGTCCCTTCTTTGTGGTTAGGCCTAAATTGTACTTCCTTACTATGTTTTGCTTTTCAATAATTATTAAAAAACAATAAAATTTATTCAAATTATTTTGAGTTGTAACGTAAATAGTTATGAGACTGGATATTTAAGTGGCAACAATGTGAGGTTAAGGTTTAGGTTTGAGTCAATGAGGGCTCGCCTTTTTTTCACGCCCCGACCTTTCGGAAAGGGTTAGAAAAACAAGGCCTCACAGTTTGGACTCTACTTGTAGTTCTGAATCTAATCTCACAAGTGCAATGTGAAACTGATAAACACCAAAGAGTTTAAATCCGAAAAATCGTTTTGGAAAATAGGTTTTGAATCAAATAATGTCAAAATTGGATTGCTTTTCCAGATTACAGAATCGCCACCTAAATATTTTATTTTTGAAAAAATTTAGTAAATCCTGACTCATGCCAAAGGCCACGTGTCCGTCATCACCAAAGTTACCTCGGCTCGGGAACTTGGGTACGAGAGGGGAAGGTCTTGAAATGAGCACCCCCACTTGCTCGATCAAAGATCGGCCTCTACTAATCATGATATGAGATTTTAAAAACCTTATGTGTTCTTTTTCCAGTTATTACTCTAACCTTACAATGCGATGCGTACACACACAAGTATAGACTAGTCGTAAGACTTGGAACAATTCAACTCATGTTTGTTTTCTAAAATGGTTTGAATTTGCCACCCTCAAGTGGGCTTAAAGATGCGGGTTTGCCACCTCAAGTGGGCTTAAAACATGATTTGCCACTTCGCAAAGTAGGCTTAAAACATACATTTGTTGAATCGTTCCAACTCAAACAACAAAGCCTTCATCCACAAGCATTCATGCAATTTAGCATTTAAACATATAGCCTCATGGCAAGCATGAGAAACATGGCAATATGGCAATTACACTCATGCAAGTATGCTAAAGCATAAAGACTTACCGAGTACTCCAAGCTAAAACAGAAGCTAGTTAGAAAAAAATACATGATTCCTAACTATGTTCAGTGACTAATGCAATACATGCAATATGAAATTAATAAAATCGGCTACTAATATGGCATATGATTTGCAACACTTTGATAGCATGCTTTGAAACACGTGTTCCAAGAAGTATTGAAATTGCAATGCAGTTTGCATGATACACCAAGCCTCGGTGCATGCGAGACAAATGAATGAATGCAAACATGACAATGTAGCATAATTCGGCATTAAGTAATTTAAATTAATGGCTAAGACAACGTAGCATAATTCAACATTAAATCTACCCTTGCAACATTTGGCTATAACCTAATCTGCCGAATGAAATATACGGCTCGATGCTAAGCTTGTCTGGCAAGTGGGGTAGTATCTTGTGATTCGGCTATAATATCAGATGCCTAGTAGAATTGTATATTTTCCCTTGCCCCATTCGGACAAGTCGTTCCAGAGCCGAATAAAACATATGGCTTACGTCAATTTGGATGTCGTTCTAGAGCCAAATACAACATACGGCTTACAACGTGTAACATAATCTGCTGAATAAAATATACGGCTCAATGCTAAGCTCGTCTGGCCAAGTGAGGCAGTGTATTGTGATTTGGCTATAACATCAGATGCCAGTAGAATCGCATATTTGCCCTTGCCCTATTTGGACATGTTGTTCCAAACCCGACTATAGACATTGGGTTAGCTGCGGGGCGCATTGGAAATGCTGTATTCGTAATTAATGAATGAGGTATCTAGTATTTAAGAGGTCCCAGGCGTCATGGAATAGAACTGGCACAGACGACAAAAGGGGCAATTGATAATTTGAGAACGAGCAGAAACTTGAGTGTCGACGTTGGTCATAAGCGGGGCCATAGATGTCTCAGAGATTATTCTTCAATAGTAAAGGAGAATGGAGGAGTTTGACGAAGTTGGACGCTAAAATGCATCGCGCTGTTGGGGGCAAAGATCAAAGAACAGGGAATGTTACAATAGAGGGGAGAGAGAGACGTCAATCGCCCAGATGTCGGGGTAGGTCCCCCAGAAGAAGTGAAGTAGCGAAGTCCCCCAGGGATGGGGCGCAGCAACGATGGGGCTCAAAGGCCGCGAGTAGACATGGCCACAGTGCGAAATGAGTTGAGCAGACCGCTGCGCCCGCTGAGCTTTTCGGTCTTTGTTGGGAACAAACCAATGACCAAAGTGGACTCAATAGTCCGTGATCCTAATGTGGTGGTGGAATTCATGCGGCAAATATTTCTGCTAGAGGTGCAGGAGTTGCTTGTCGGCTGAGGTGATTACGAAATTCTCAGGGAAGGTATACATGGGTCAATTCGAGGACTTTACAGTGCGTATGAAGTCGGCATGTGCCTGCGCGCTGCGAAAAGAGAGCTCGAGCAAAGGGAGGGGCGCATTCGAGAATTGGAGCGCCACGTGGAAAAAGCCGAGAGTCAGTTAAGAAAGGCCAAGGCGGCTGAGACGTAATTGGTGTGTGCCGCAAACTCGGTTGTCACTGACAGAGTCAACCAGTGCCTGCTGGATCATGCTATGGCCAATAGAGAAACAGAGTCTTTATGTTGGCCGAATTTGGAGGCTTATTCATCCCAAACGTGATATCTATGAAGGGCGCTCTGAATTCGGAGTCTTTGTGTAGGCCAATCGTGATATTTACAAAGGGCGTTCCGAATTTGGAGGCTTTTTCATTATTCAATCATTATTAACGAGACGGCGATAAAAAAGGCATTGCATTGCGGAATTCTGTAGATGTGTACATGTTAGCATAATGATACTTCCATGGGGCACGCTGTACAAGTTGGCTTAATGATAAAATTTACACAAATGTGTGGAATTCCAGAGGCGTGGCAACCTTCTGCCAGCCATGTTTGAAAGCCAATATGCTCCTGTTCCAGCAATTGAATCAAAGGACTGTCCTAATTGGGGCCAAATTTACCGTTTGCTAGATTCTTATTAGCAGGAAGCACTTTCTTGAGGACCAGTTCTCTAGGTGTATAATGACGTAACTGCACGCGCTGCTATATGACTTGGCGAGCTACTGCTAATATTGCGCCATGCACGCAAGAGCACAATCTCGGCGTTTTTCAATCAAAGTCAGATCTAAGGCCAACATCATGTCATTACGGTCCACGTTAAAAACCTTGGATTTTAGTGTCGGCAGGCCGATTTCAAGAAGGATGATTGCCTGTGTCCCAAAGCACAAAGCAAATGGTGTTTCTCTAGTAGATCGCCTCGGAGTAGTGCGATGAGCCCACAATACACTGGGCAATTCTTCAACCCACATGCCTTTGGCTTTTTCCAATCGTTTCTTGATGCCGTCCAGGATCACTTTATTGGAGGCCTTAGCCTGACTGTTGCTTTGTGGGTATGTCGGCGAGGAAAAGTAGGGCCAAATGCTATATGTGTTGTATAACTCCTGACAGACGCTGCAATCGAATTGGGTGTCAATGTCGGAGACAAGTGCTCTCGGTATGCCGAATCGTGTTATGATGTTTTTCCATATAAAATGTTTAACATCAACATCT